CCCCAAAACCCCAAAACCCCAAAACCCCAAAACCCCAATAGACAGGAATTATCTTATAGTTTACAATGATATAAGTAATAATGCATTTATAAAATTTGGCTATTTTATATAAGATCCATCAAGATTAAGATATAAATCAAAACATTCTCTTGCTAGTCTTCTTTTTCGCTCTGCCGAACTATCTCGAAGTAACTGTAATCTTATCTTTATCCTTGTCAAGAATACTCTCCAATTCCTTAAGATCCTTATATACTTCATCACTAGTTAGAATTTCAGTATCAATTTCGTCATCAATGTCAAAGCTAAAGGGACCTATTCTTCTACTGTTCTACTATTAACTTTGGAAAGAGGTATCATTTGGATTATAGCCTCCTCCTTAAGGATAACCTTGAACTCCACCGTACGTTACTTTTTTACCTCCTGGGAACCCAGTCTAGGTAGAATTATTAGATTAGACCATCCTTCTAACCTTTTCTAACAATCTTTAGACTTTCTAAGAGTGCTCATCGGTTCCCATCATTTCCTCTTGGCCATATGCTCCACCATAGTTAAGTTTAGTTTAACCTAAGAAAGAGTTGTTATTAGGTTGAGCAGTAGCAAAGCCTGGATCTCTGCTAACGAAACTTGATCCCATACCCATAACTTAAGCTCCAGCAAAACCTAAGGTAGTCTTGCCTGCCTTAAGTTAACTGTTCTATAAAGCTGCTTTCTTCAAAGATCTTTCATCGTCTCTCTTCTTTCTAATATCATTAAGCATATTCTAAACTCCTGTTTGTCTTTTATCAATATCCAATCTATAAGTATCTAGTGGGAAATTCCAAAGATAATTTTGTTTTAGCATATAACCCTATCTTAAAATACCCTAAAGTTCTCCCTTGAGATTCCAGATTTTAGCCATCTTATCCATACCAGCACTAAATATTATCGCAGAATCAGTCTCAGCAATATAGCTGATCGATTTTATGATGTCATTGTGAGCCTTCCACTATGCTACTTGTCTGAATTGTCCTTCTTTTAATAGTGGAATCACCTCATTTTCTGCCTAGTCATAATTGCTTGACATATCACTGGCAGCATCGTTAAAGTCCATCATTTCACTTTCTGCCTTTTCAATTGGGAGAACTCTCCAAGGATTTCTCTTGTGATTATTGGATACAATATCTACTGGCTTTAGAGCAAACTCTTGTAGTATTGAACTCAAATCTTAAACTCTGATATATCCCATCTCATCACCTACAATCAAAAGGAAAGTACCATTTTTCTGATCATAGTAGGAATCTACACTTGTTATCGGGCACATCTTTTATAGTGTAAACATATTTCTCCAACTCACTAAACACTGCTTTGCCTTTGCATGGGGCTTTGTAACCCACACATACAGTTATCCTGATGAATCAGCTGTTAGTAAGAGTGGAAAAGGTTTGATAAATTTGACAATAACTACTTCTGATGAATGCGAAGTAATTTCCTCTTCATACTTTACCCTTTCATAATCCCATATTCTGACACTGTGATCTCTTGACCCTGTAGCGATCAAGCCTAAGTTATGTGAGTAATCTCCGCAGATAATATCCTTTTTATGACAATTCTTTTTACCTCTGAGTACATTTTCTCTTGGCGACTTTAATTCCTGCTTTTCATCCATGTGAATTTTTATAACTCTATCCCATCCACAACTGATAATTGTATTGTCATTATCTCCATAGCCAATAAATGAGATTTCACCATCTTAAGGGTCATGACCTTCTAGCTCATTTATCATCACTCCTGATAGTAAATCAAATACTTTGACTCTTCCTAAATGATCTCCAGCAATAAGCTTTCTATGATTCTTATCAAATTCCATACAGGTTATATCACTTTCAAATATATTTTTTAGGACTCTTACTGGCTTACCCTCTTTAGCATTCCAAATCTTAATGGATCTCTCACCAGCTATGTAGATTTCAAAACGAATTGGAGAAAATTTAGCACATAATATAGGATGGTCATCAGAGAATTCTGGGGTGAAAGGTTTAGTGTATTCAAAGACCTTGAATACTCTTGAGCCACAGACAAGTCTTCTGTGCTTTGGAATAACTCTTAATGAAGTTACTTAAATAACATTGGATACATAGAAAGTTTAGACACAACTGTAATCATTAATGTTCCATACCTTCACCATACCCTTAGTATCACAGGTAATGAACACATTAAGATTGGCTGGGCAGTTTACTCCGACAAGAGGAGATTCGTGCCCATCTAGTTTTATAATGTATTTTTCGCAGTAAGGATTCCAAACGAATACTTCAAAGTCAAATCCACAACTGACTAAAATTTTATGTCTCTCAGAGTATGCAATTTCTCTTACAGCCTTTGAATGGCCAATCAGAACTTTTGTTGGCTCTTTTGCGAAATCATCCATTAGATCATCATTATAGTTTTTGTTTTCTTCTTTAGTATTCTTTCTGAAGTTTGAGTGCTAAGTTTTCTTTGTATTTCTCTTATTGTCATTAGAACCAAGAGTTGATTTTTTAAGAAGAGACATCTGGCCAAAGTTTTAATTGCTTGTCTTGGCTGAATTCTTCTCATCGTGATCATTTTTACTCTCAATCAGGTTGTTTCTTAAATCCCAAAGCTTAATTTACTTATCATATGAACCAGTTGCCAGGAAATTTATATTAGGAAGATCAACTACACAGAGAATTATATCTCCCACAAACCAAGGCGTTCTCTCAGTAATGTATAGCTTGTAATCAAACTCTCTCTTTTCCTTTTCTCTCAATGCTTCATCCTCAACAAAGTCATTTGAAAAGATTTTCTCCATGTTCCAAGCAAATATAGCTCCATCAGTACCAGCCGAGAATAAAGTTCTCTTTCTCTTTACATAGCACAGACATTTCTATGTACTAGGGACATGAATTTTCCTAATAATCTTGTAAGTTGCACTGCCAGCATCATAAAACAAGATAGATCGATCGCTTAAACTCACACATATAGCGTTTTTATCAGGAGCGAACTCTATTGCTAGGATGACCCCTGGACAACTGATGTCCATCTCATTTCTCATAGTCAACCCATCATAAATTCTCATAAATCTCATATTCTACTCGTATAGAATGACTTTATCGATTTGCTAAAAGTAGAATATCTTCTCAATGTAATTATTGTGAGTAGTCTAGTCAGTGATTTCTGATTCGAAATAGTTCATATTCATGTTTCCAATATTTTTAAACTAATCAATCTCATGCTCTATCAAGTAACTCGTCAAGTCTTCGAACTTTATGGTCTCCCCATGAGACTTATTGGCTCTGTAAAATAAGTCCACTAGATCCTGAATGAATTCCTCTCTGGTAGTCAACTTAGTGTCTTCTAAGACTTCTTTCATTATTTTCACGAATTAGTCAACATCTACTGCTTCATTTGGAAATTTTTCAAAGGCTTCAGAAATCGCAAGTAACTTGATTGAATTTAAGTTGTTGATCAAGTCAAGCTTATCTAAAGAAGAGATAGTTTGATTATGTAAAAGAAGTTACTGGGATCAGCTGAGTACAAATTCTCAATATCTGCTTCATTCACGTCATCCTTCTTTTTAAACATATCTCCATGCCTCTTCTTCTTTTTCTTTTTGTTTCCCTATCCATATTCACCGTCATAGTCTCCCAGATCTCCACCGTTACCATCCTCTAAGTGATCTTCTTCACTTTCCTCAGACTGTTTATATTGTTGAATTATAGTGCTAGTTCTTACCTATGGATAGAGTTCAAGACCTTTACCTGACGAATTGATGTAAGCCATTTGAGAAAAATTCTTGACCATAGCATCAAATATTGGATGCTTCTTAGCAGCTTACTCTCCATCAAAAAAGGAATTAGGAGCATTTCCTACAGGTTATTGCTACTGTGAATTTTTACCACCTTGATTCTTATTCATATTTACTTTTATTTAAATTAAATTCTCTCTCTGATTATAGTCATCTATAATACTTAAAGGGGTTTTGGGGTTTTGGGGTTTTGGGG